ACCCACTCTTTTATAGTGAGGGGGGTGACACGTGGCAAAGCCCCCATTATTGGTCCTTCTAAGCCATCTGACCTAGGCTTAACGAGCAGGCAGTGCTTTATGGTTACAAATAATTAATCTTAGGTAAATTTGCCCAGAATGCGAAGCTCAATCACTGAAGTTTCTTAAACTCATGGCAATGACGAACCCAAATCTCATCCCTAGAGGTCACAGACAGAAATAAAAACCTGACGGATGAAGCGGCAGGACTTTAATATAATCCATGGGTTGTCTTGTTTTTCTATTTAAACGCTTTTGATGTTAGGTTGCAAGTGATTCAGTCATTTTTGTCAGTCAGGGATGAGACAAAACACTCACTTATCTAAATATGGAAGAGATGAAGGCAACTGACCAGACTGATCCCATTGTCTTGGAAACGAATGTCTTATTTCAAAGAACAGCAGTTCTCTGTTAACGAGAAAAGCACTTATTATTTAATCAATAGTCTACTTCAGTCACCTATGTGCTTCACTCTTGAGAGGATCCATCAAACTCTTCTTCACATAATGTTACAATTACCACCTGTAATTGCTATCAGTGGAAAGAAATAATTAACCCATTAATGCGCATGACAAATTTGCTATTAGACGTATAAGATGGACTACTAATACAAAATGCTTAGACAAAAGAGTCCTTAGGGAAACCCTGATGTATTTAAAGTGTAATTCCACTTTTGCAGCCAAATTGGGATAATGCCTATTGTATATTTGTTATTTGTTCCCACTCACATAGTATAAGCTAAACAATATATTTAAAAAATGCTTCTTGCAGTTTAAATTGCTTTTACTTAGGTAAGGGTTTCTTGGCTTCTTAACGGGTTAAAATTTCTACATGCTTCTCCTTCTTTGTAATGTTAGGAGGGGCTGTGAAGAGTGAGGGGTTTATTAACCCTATCTTTGCTGTGCTGGCTCATTTCATTCCAACCTGTAATGTAGATTTGAACACTGCTTGTCCTAACACAGGGTTCAAGGATTACAACCCTGGCTTTTGCATTGTATGTCATTAATAGTAGGGTTGCACCGATACCGAGTATTTGGGCGAGCACCCGTACTTGCCCAAATGCTCCAATGCCTAGTCCGATACCCAAACTTCAGGTATCAGAAAGCCGGGCAGAGAGTCATTACACGCTGCCCGGCTTCCTGATTGGCCGAGAAGCCGGCTCCATGTTCCCTTGTCCATGTTCCCTTGGTGACGAGGGATGATGGAGCCGGCCTCCCCGGCCAATCAGGAAGCCGGGCAGGGTATAATGACATAAACACATAAAGCTGTTTTCTCAAATTGGACTGCAAAAGTAGAAATACACTTTATTATACAGGCACATAAAACAACTAATTGCATTCATGTTGTTTTTATAGCTGCAAATTAGATACTTAATATTTCTCAGCTAAGCAGAATTCTGTTAGCCAATCCAGTCAGTTTTACCTGAACTGGGTGATGGTCATCATGTCTGTGGGTAATAGCTGATACCAACTAACCATTAATCCTCAGAAATGTATTTTTCTATTCTTATTTCTGTTACTTGGCTAGAGATCTGACTGTCACTGCAACAACTGGTGTATCTTCCCTTCCCTCCTCCTCCCATTAATGGGTCAGTCCATATAAAGGCATAGTTTGGTACATTGTGGAGTTGAGTGGTCTGAGCCAGGCCCAGCTTATTATATGTTTTGGGTACTCCAACAAAGAGATCTCCCAGCCATAACTCTTGACCAGGGGTGCCCACAAGGTCGATCGCGATCTACCAGTTGATCGCGTAGCGATCACTGGTAGATCGCCATGTTCTCTCCTCCCGCTGCTTCTCTGGATCCCCGCTGCTCTCCCCAGCGGGGATCCGAGAAGAAGTGAAGGAACCGGCGGCGGGGGAGGACGGAGCCGCTGTCACTAATTAATGCAGAGCAGTGACAGCATCTGACAGCCGGTGCCTCTCTCTCCCCTCACTGCTCGTCCATTCTGTCACAGCGGCTCCGCCTAATAAAATAAAAAATAGTAAAAAATAAATTTAAAAAACTGTTTTTTTCCCCTTGCCTCAGGCGCAATAGGAGCTGGCTACGGCTATGCTCCCGTGGTGCTCGTGCGGCTGTCAGCTGAATGTGTCAGACGCTGCAGATGGAAAGGTGCAGGACACCCCATGTGCAACGTCGGCCACACGAGCACCACGGGAGGACAGGACGCCGGGACCTGTAATGTACTGGAATGCAAGCAGGCCGACTCCCTGCGTTCCGGTGCGGGAGGGGGTGTGGAGCTGTATTGAAGTCAATGGCATCGCCCACAGTGCGATCGCCCGCACTCGGAACGCAGGCACATTAGTGCCTGCATTCCGGTCCAGTGCGATCTGCAAAAATAGTGCTCGCAGCATTTTTGCGGATCGCACTGGACTGGAACACAGGCACTAATGCAGGCGATCCCACTGTGGGCGAGGGGCCTGTCTGCGCAGCCTACGCCCCCTCCCGCCCCTGAATGCAGGTGTTTTTTCGTTGGTAGATCTCAATGAGCTCGTCATTTGAAAAGTAGATCTCCAGACGAAAAATAGTGGGCGCTCCTGCTCTTGACTCTGTTCCTGCCTGCCTGGATGTTCATCATGACATTTTTGAGCTCATCTTTTTTCATTCTCCAAAATATAAATGGAAATAAACCTTTAAAGAGGAAGGACTCTCATAATTGCCACAGTACGTGTGCAAACCCAGGAACTCAAGCACAGAGATCTATGTCCAAGACTTGGGTCTTGGACCCAAGCCCAAGATGTAAGACAATTGTCAGGTGGTTTAACTGTCCAGCATTTACCAAACATCAAAATATCAGTTTTAGGTGCACTACTTACTATATTATAATTACACTTGGGCAGCCTGAGCAAGCACACAATTATGCCTCATTCACACGGGAAACGGCTGGCACGTACAGCTTCGTGCTGCGTGTGTGGCCGTATCGGGCAGCTCCCGGGAAGGACAGGTGCTGTGTGTGATTAGTACGCAGCCCCTGTCCTTCTCTATGGGTGTATGTGGCAATATGCTGTCCTATGCTCGCCCACCCTGCACGTCCATGCGGGTGCAGGTGAGCGTACTCGTACGCTGACAGGATGGTACAGACCTACACTTGGGGTGAGTGTAGGGTGGCGTATGGCCTCGTATTCCATAGGGAAGGACAGGGGCTGCGCACCAATCACACACAGCACCTGTCCTTCTCAGGAGCTGCCCGATCCGGCCTTTTCTCTTGTCAATGAGGCCTTAGAAAGAAAGATAATTTTTAAAAGACAGTGTGCCCACATCCAAGACAACCATCCATTGTCTCTGGTCAACTGAATTTGTGACAGTTACTCACCATAGAGAAGAGAGCACATTTAGCTTAGTATCTATACAGAAGTTTACATCACTGGTCACTCCCTGATTGGCCAGGAAAGGCCTTATGGTAAAGCAGAAAGCATAATATAAAGGTAGGCAAACTTTAGAAAATATTGTTCTTTCACCGAATCTCACCAAAAATCTTTTTGTGTGATAATATGTTATATATAACTCAATATAAGAGGTCTCCTATCTTTCATGGAGTTCATCCCTTCTTCAGGGGCCTTCGTTCTGTCAAAAGTGAGTCAATATGAGTCTTGCTTGCTGATAATTCAAAGGGCCATCAATCACTGTTAACACTAAACTGATGAGCGGTAAAAGTTTTTGCCATTTCACGGGGGCATGCAATTAGGCCGGTTCACACCATCTCCATTGCGTTCAAGCACAGTTAGTGGCCAGAATGCACAATTGAAGCTTCCCGTGTTCTGGGGGGCCTGGCAGTGCCATTCATGTCGAGACAAGTCAAGACAATTCATGTCAAGACACGTCTCCCTCCCACCCTCTCCAGAACACGTGGTAGAGAAATGCCCGCGGTCCGGTGCGATCACAAAAAATAGTGCCTGTATGGCACCGCCAAGCCCCCTCTCGCCCCAGAACGCGGGAGGCTTCAATTATGCAATCCAGCCACTAACCCTGCCGGAACGCACTAGAGATGGTGTGAACCGGCCCTTAAAGGAGAACTATTAGGTGAGTGCTTTCCACTCACCTCATAGTTCTAGCCAACCTGTGACAATGAGACTGTCACAGGTCGGCTCAGTAGATCGAGAAGTGAGCGAACACATACCGGCGTTCGCTCACCTCTCGATCCTGTCATGGCTCTCTGCCGTGACAGGGGAGGGGCTGGATTCCCCGCCAGCGCTGACTGGCGGATCGGACGGGGGAGGGAGCGGGTACAGGTGGCTCTGCCTCTAGATAGGCAGAGCCAGCTGTCACTCACGCAGCTGGGCGGATCCCGACGTCTAAGGCGGGATCCGCTCCGGCATCTCAGTATACCGCGAGCTGTAGCTCGCTGAATACTGAGCTTAGGGTAACGGGAGGACGCTAGTTTGTGTCCTCCCGTTACCCTAAGGAGAACTATGGGGAAAAACACTGACACCATAGTTCTCCTTTAACCGCATAGTTCTCCTTAGGTTTGACATGTACCCGACACAACTCCATCTTTTATATTTTGCCAAAAAATCGGATATTATATTCTGTTTCAGTTTTACTGTATTTTATCCCCATATTTGACAAATTTCGTGCCACAAAAACTTCTAGCATTTTTTTAAATTCTACAAGCACTCTGCTTTCAGACAATATATAATTGTTTTAAACTGTTTTCTAGCAGAAAATTCAGATTTGCTCGTTTGTGCAAAAATTAAGACAACGCTCCAGATGGCAAGTGGTTAAAAAAAAAATCCGAGAGGGGAGTGAAGTTCCCCTTTAAGAGAAGTAACTTTAATAATCAGACTGGAATAAGATTGGAATGATCCTTTAGAGACAAGAACAAGGGGCGCGCCTAGACCCTGGTCACCCGCATCCAGCACAGAAGCGCAGCTGATGGGTAGATACACGTTGCTAAGTGGGAGTAAATCGGTCTCTGTTGCTATGGCACATCTCCAAGGCGATGCTGCACCCCCCAGGCAAGGGTTAAAGCGCCGCGCCTGCGCACTCCCGCCGCACCTGCTGAGACAGCAGCCTGTCGCGCGCCAGTTCAAAAGGCACCAGGGAGTGATGGAGAGCAGACAGGCGGCGCGGACCGGAGGGCGTCTGCAGGTGTGCGGGCGGGAGCGCGCAGCGGACAGGTGAAGGGGGCGTGCACGCGGCCAGCCCAGACCATGGGAGCATCTTCTTATCATTAGTATCGGTTCTGATGATGAAGAACAAAGGGGGGTGCAACAAGATGACAGACAGGCCTCCCAATACTTATAGAAGGTAAGCAGATCTTTCATTACTAGCATGACATAATCAGATGGAGGGGCTCTTCCTGATCTACTGAAGATCATACATGTGCACTAAATACTAATAGATTTCACATACATGCTCCATGTGTATCTTAGTACAACTTGTCATCGGAGGGGTGGTCCTGCCTCTTATGTATTTTTATAAACAGTACTGTTGGTCTTAATCATATTTCCTACGTTGTAGAGATTTAAAGGCATATTCAGCTTTTTGCAAAGAATGCAGAAATGCATTTATATTAAGAACAAAATTGTGTTTTTATTATTATCATCATCATGATCATTATTATTTTTTGCATTGGAGTCTGCAGAGCATTGCGATTGCAATCAGCGTAATGCTTGGGCTCCTGCAGGCTATTCCTCTGGCCCCTGTGTGTGTGGAACTTGGGTTTTGCAGCCGGAAGTGGTTATCAATGGATTACAAGTAGAGATGAGCCTGGGCTTGGTGGAAATCCAGTTCACCCAAGCCTGCTCAAAAGTCTGACCGCCACCCCCACCTTCTGACCTAATCAATGGCGGCAGGAGCATTCCCCGCCCTGCAGCTCTACGTCACTGATTGGGTAGGGAGAAGGGTGTGGCGGTCTGGCTTTTGAGCAGGCCTGGGTAAACTGGGTTTCCACCAAGCCCAGGCTCATCTTTACTTGTAATGTCAGACTTTTGAGCGGGCTTGGGTGACCTGGAATCCCTCCAAGCTCAGGCTCATCTCTACTTGTAATGTCAGACTTTTGAGCGGGCTTGGGTGAACTGAGTACCCACCGCGCTCAGGCTCATCTCTACTTGTAATGTCAGACTTTTGAGTGGGCTTGGGTGACTTGGGTTCCCACCGCGCTCAGGCTCATCTCTACTTGTAATGTCAGACTTTTGAGCGGGCTTAGGTGACCTGGGTTCCCACCGCGCTCAGGCTCATCTCTGATTGTAATGTCAGACTTTTGAGCGGGCTTGGGTGAATTGGGATCCCACCAAGCCCAGGCTAATTTTTACTTGGAATGTGTCTCTCCGGCCTCCCCGGAACTAATTGGTTTGGGATAGGGGGGTGGTGGTGTTTTTTTGTTTCATTTCTATGTCCCTGTCCGGAAGAGCCACTCTATCTGACATGGTGACTTTTGTCTTTGTCACTAGAACAGAAGCAGATGGGTATCTGTCATAATTTTCTCTGGGTTAGCTGGATATAACAGCGAATGCAGCGTTGATCTCCGGTAATCTGCTACTGCACTCCTGTGCCGCAATTTTTCTGCCTTTGGTCATCAGGAGGCAGCTTTCTCCCAGGTTCAGGCAGCCTGACCCTCTCGATGAGGTGCGCCAGGTCCGTCCTTCTCCATAAGCAGAATAGAAGATGATGCCACCTGGGAAGTGTGATGTGCATATCTCTGGAGGCTTCAGCAGGAGAGACACCTAGAAGAGAATGGAGGGCAGAGGGCAAAAAAAGAAAAACAAAGTAAAAAACAGGATTTTTTCTCCACGTTTATTGAAGGACACAGCTGAGATTTTGATATCTGACTGATATGTGGTCCTATAACCCATCGGTCAGAGATCAAGATCTCTGCTGTGTCGCTCAGTGAATGGAAGAGAAAACGGAAAATGTAATACTTATCCTTCTGTAATTTTCCTTTCCTGGTGCCTATACATGGCAGCATATGTTTTGGAACCATAGGTATGTTGTCATGTAGACACCAGAAAAATCTAAAATGGAATACTTACCCTTCCATAATTTTCCTTTCCTGATGCCTATACATGGCAGCAATACTATGGTTCCAAAACGTATGCTGCCATGTAGACACCCGGAAAATAGGATTTTTTTTGTACTCACCTAAATCCCTACTTCTGCATTCATTGAAGGACACATTAGAGATCTATCCAATCTTGATTGGAGACTGATGGGTTATAGCGCCACCTATCGGTCAGAGATCAAGATCTCCTCTGTGTCCTTCAATGAACGCAAGAGAAACGGGGTTTCAGATTGTGCAGGGTTGCAGAGACACAAATTCAGTTTGTAGACTGATGGTCCACTTTAAGTGTGATACTCTAACCCAGGAGTAGGCAACCGTGGCACTCCAGCTGCGTTAAAACTACAAATCCAATCATGTCTCTAGGAGTCATTCCTGTGGCTGTCAGAGTCTTGCAATGCCTCATGGTACTTGTAGTTCCATAACAATTGGCATGCCAAGGTTGCCCACCCCTGCCCTAATCCTTATATGCGAACACTGCATATAAAAAGGAAATGATACCCATCTGTTCTGATTTGTGGGAATCCAGTAATATTTAGTCTGCTTGTCAAACGTCTCCCAATTTTCACACCTTGTGACATATTAGAACAAGCGAGTCAAATGCATAGTTGTGTTTGATATCGTGCTGCTCTTCTTCCGTGTGATACATGCCCTGATCACAGTCTTTCTCCTTTTTATATTTTAGGTGTCACCAATGGCTTGTGGGTTTGCCTGGCGCCAGCTCCTTCAGTAGAATTTGAACATCGGCAGGTCAGCCTGTAAATGAATGTCCAGTTTGATGTTTAAGTCGGGATTATCAGTCTTCCTGCACAAAATGAAGAAGCAGAATATAAGGACTCTCTCTCTGATCCTGTGCATGTTCTCGTATCTCTTGGTGGGAGCCGCCGTCTTTGATGCCCTGGAATCGGAGTCTGAAAGCTCCAGGAAACGGATCTTGGAGGAAAAAAGGACTGACCTAAAAAAGAAATATCATTTCTCCGATGAGGACTATCGAGAGATTGAGCGTGTGGTTCTGCAGTCCGAGCCTCACCGTGCAGGCAAGCAGTGGAAATTTGCCGGCTCCTTTTATTTTGCTATTACAGTAATTACTACCATAGGTAAGAGTTTGCCTTTTCATTCAATCACTTTCATTCCCGAGGGAGAGCAGCGTATGTTCTCCTCCCTCTTCGTACCACAGATTGTAATAAATGTTGCATTACGTGCTGAGAAGAGACACTTTAACTTTCCATACTGATTGCATGCTGAATTACAACATACAGATCTCTTTTTTTTCAGCCTCTGAAAGCTTTTACCGTCAGAATAAAACCTTCGTGAAATTGCCTTCCATATTTGGCATTTTGCAGTTGATTCTTATAGCAGGTTTAAATAATTTCTTCGTTTACAACTCTTTGCGTTAGATGCAGAATAGCTCAATAATCTCACAAAGAGCCTGAGCGAAGTCAAAGACAATTGTCTGGGTTGCTGAAAGTAACCTTTGATTGTCAGGTTGGATTTTTGCTCGTCCAGGTTAAGCCACCAGATTTTACTGAAACGGATCTTACAATTACCTCTATGGCTTGTGTAGACAGACTTTAGAGCAGCGTTTTCTTATTTTAGTCACGGCTCCCTCTTAAAGTATGCCAAATCTCGAGGAACCCCATTCTAAAATGTACAAAAAAGAAAAATGTGGCCCCTCCAAAATCCATAAACACTCCCCCCTTTATCCCAGATAGTGGTCTGGGATGGATCTTAATGGGGACCAACATAAAAACACACACAAGAAAAGAGGCTTTCCCCTTCACATCGGAGTTTCCCTTTCATATCAGGAGCACCCGTTCACATCAGAGTCCCCCACCTTTAGATCAGAATGCCACCATTTACATCAAAATCTCCCATTCACATCAAGAACCCTCTTCACATCAGAAATTCTCCCCTTTATATCAACACCTCCCTTCACATCAGAGCTTCCCTTTCAAATCAGGAGCCCCCGTTCACATCAGAGTCCCACTCTTCAAATCAGAATCATGCCTTTCACATCAAAGTCCCCCTTTACATTAGGAGCCCCCTTCTTTCACATCAGCGTTGTCTCTTCACATACAAAACCCTCCCCCCTTTACATCAACAGCCCCCTTCACATCAGAAGCCCACTTCTTTACATCAGAGCCTGCCTTTAAACAGATTATGATAATAATATGAAAATCTCCTTTTCACATCAGGGTCCCCCTTTCACATCAGAAACCCTTCCTCCTTTACATCAATAGCCCCCTTCACATCAGAAACCCACCTTCACATCAGAGCCCCACCTTTAAAATCAGAGACCGCCCTTTCACACCAGGAGTGCCCTTTACATCAGAGTCCCCCTTCATATCAAGAGCCCTGTTCACATCATAACCCTTCCCTCTTTACATCAGTAGCCTCCTTCACATCAGAAGCCCACCTTCTTCACATCAGAAGCACCCTTCACATCAGAAGCCTGCCAGCACCATGGAAAGGCATAACACCGTGTGAACATTTGGAGGCACCCTGGTTGAGAAAGGCTGCTTGAGACCTGGTTTTGAAAAAGTTCAATGTCAGCAGCTACAAGTACTTTTCTTTCAAAAACACCTACTTACAGCACTGTCTTCCGCAAAACCAAAGTCTTCATAGCTTGTTAGGTTCCCATGCTGCCATCTTGGATTTGGGAGCCTGCTGTGACTTCTTTATCACCCACAACCATCCTACTGTGTATGTGCTGTCATTGGCTGCAGTCATTGTTTGGTCAAGACTTCTCGGCTTGTCTCCTTCAACAAAAGTTGATTTTAAAAATCTCATTTTGTTGAATGGAGAGGCGCCGACGGGGCCACAAACTCCTCCGATGTTGTAAGGGAAGAAGGGACGCAACATGACCACACTAGCATGGATCTGCTTCTGTGATTAGCGTGGTCAAGATCCAGCAGAAAGTCCCTCCATCATCATGAGGACTGGCAGGATTACAAGGTATTTATTGGAGGTCCCCAAATTTCACATTCACGTTTACATGTTACAGCTTAGAGTGACTTGCTTCTGAGAATGAAACATGTCTTAAAGCTCCATGTTTACAAAAAAAAGCTTAGGCTTACGCAGCGTCTGTGCCCCTATGTGGCAGTACGTGGCAATAGGTGTCTCTGCATTGATTGTTGCATTGTGGGATCCGGGCAGGGGGTGTTGGGGCATTTTAGGGAAGTCTTGTGTCCTAGACAGGAGGCTGATTACAAGTATGGGCAGATCTGGCACCTCATGGTGGTTACTATCCACCACTTACCTTGTATTCGCTGACTACTAACAATGTCTAGTGCAGATCCACTTTAACCCTTTTGTGACCTTTTGTGACCAGAGGCCATTACTGCACAGACCAAATTCCGCAGCGTCCGCATGCATTGGTTAAGTTAACGGTAAGTCTGTGACTAATTTGCACATCTTAATAGTTTTTATACACATTTATTAAAGAAGTATTAAACTTTCAAACTTGTTTTAATCATGAATCCAGAGCAAACAAATATACGGTACATTGCACAGTAAAGTATTTCTTTCAGTTTTTGCCCAAGCACTTACAGTCATCATGTTTTCAAATAGTTGTAACTCTCTCAGCTCGGCTTCCCTGAACTTCCTGTCCAGTACAAGATCATAAGGGACAGCAGAGCAGTCTACAGCAACTGTTCATGTACTAGCTTGAAGGAGGGGGGAGCCAGGGGGGGGGGGGGGGAATGACTTGCCTTGCTGTCCCTGTGTGTTTGTGGAGGCACACACAGTTTACTAGCACACACGAGGTTGCCTCTATAAGACCCTGCAAGGGAAAGGAGCCACCGTAAAACAGGGTATCAGGAACAGTGCTCATGGGACCAGCTGATTCTGCAGAAAACTAAAACTTTCAAACCTCAAGGAGCAGCATCCATTGTAAGTGATTTAATTAGCATAACATAATACAATTTTGACTTTAATATCACTTAAAGGAGAACTATGAAGTGAGTGCTTTTCACTCACCTCATAGTTCTAGCTGACCTGTGACAATGAGACTGTCACAGGTCGGCTCAGTAGATCGGGAGCTGAGCGAACACATACAGGCGTTCGCTCACCTCTCGATCCTGTCACGGCAGAGAGCTGTGACAGGATCAGGAGGGGCTGGATTGCCCCCGCTCCGATAAGCCAGCGCTAACTGGCGGATCGGACGGGGGAGGGGGCGGGTACAGCTGGCTCTGCCTCTAGATAGGCAGAGCCAGCTGTCACTCACGCAGCTGGGCGGATCCTGGCATAATTGTCGGGATCCGCTTCAGCTGCGGCATCTCAGTATACCGCGAGCAGCAGCTCGCTGTATACCCCGAGCTGCAGCTCGCGGTATACTGAGCTTAGGGTGACGGGAGGACGCAGCCTGCATGCAATCATTCTATCCTAGCTGACATAGAGGTCACATGACCGGGAACCACTTCGATTAGTCAGTGGGGACCTAGGTTGTCATTGACGGCCGGGATTGTAAGTTAGCAGCAATGTGAAATGTCAGCAGCTTTATTGTGTCCTCTGTATTTGACATCATGCTGGGGAGCGTTCATATACAGATTGTGGGTGGGAGGGGGTTATAGTGGATGATGTTTTAAATTCAGTAACCCCTAACAAGAAATGTTATATTTTTACTTTCACTGAGAGTGAATGGAACTTGGAATTTAGTTGGGATACCTAATTTTGGTACAATTATTCACCCATTATTCTAAAAACTCTGTAATCATGGTGGCACTAAGATAGAGCCATGTGATCTGCACTTCAGCCTCTTTAAATCCAGGTAGACACCTACAATTATTGCATGAATTTTTGCTGAACAGGGTCCTCTCACACTCAAGGACATGTATGAAGTGCATGGCCTGCCACCCTGCCAACCTCAGCTGACATGTTCAGGTTAATGGAAAACTCCAGACAGACCAACTACTATAGGACTGTGGTTCACTGTGCTGTCACCACTGCTAAACACCGCTACAGTATATGGCAACTGCAGTGCGAGATTTTTATGAACTCTTAGAGCTCAGCCACACAGCGATCTAAACAAAATAGTGCTTGCAGCATTTTGTTCGGACCAGACCAGACCGCAGGCATAATGTCCCTTGCGTTCCCGTGCGGCCGATCGCATTGCGGCCGGAGGCCATGGCTATGGTGCCATTCACTTCAATGGACCGGCACCACGCCCCCTCCTGCCCCACAACATAGTGAGCCGGATGCATTGCGATGCAGTGCGTTCTGGCCAGAATCGGGCCGGAACGCACTGCATCTGGTGTGAACGAGGGTACAAATTTTCCTAACCTTTTGCAGTGCAGGGGTAGCTTGTTTTAAGTGCTTGTTTTTGTCTAGGGACGAACTTGATGGACTTGGCTGCTATGCTGGTCCCTCTGCTCCAGTGATGGAATGCACCGATGGACTGTATTGGACGTGATGACTCACAGGACTTTAGACCACTAGGGGTGGAGGGAGAGAGCTGCAGGGACCGGACTAACAGCCAGCCAACTCAAAGGTTCAGGCATTTCTTTTTTTTATATTCGCCCCTAGACGAAAACGAGCACTTACTGCAAGGGTTAATAATATTTCTGCCCAGAGTTCCTCTTTAATGTTGGGGGAAAGTTGATGATGGGGGGGAATTAGGATTCTAATTAGATGGTCTAATGGTAACGCAATATAAGAGGCATTGGATATATCTGTTTACCTCTTATATTGCGTAACCATAGGAAAAATGTAAGAAAATATACGGATGGAAGGTTATCTTTGCAGCAATGAAAGTTACGTGACCATGGAAACAGACAATGTCTTTAATATCCTTCTGTTTCTGGAGCTCACAGAATGCTAGTATTTTAGTTTGATCATTCAAGATCTCTAGATCCAAGAGCCAATATAAAAATGGTTGTTAGTCACTTTCCTCCCAATTAGTCTACAAAGAAAAGAACTAGTTGTGTTTCTGGTCACAACATCGGCAGCACGGAGCGGTTTAGGCTGGAAAGCAGCTTTTATGTTACATATAGCAGTAGGTGTTAGCTACCTAGACTAGGGATTGACAAATTGTCTTTGAATGCAGGAGCCAGCTAAAAAAGTTAGGAGCCAGGTTTTTTTTTGCGAGGGCGTTTTGTGG